GTTCTCCTTTTCCGGGCGCTCGTTGCAAAACCCGGCTGTTCGCATAGCTCGCTTTGAAATTGGGCAAAATGACAGAAAAAGCGTAAACGTAATTAGGTGTCGATCGGAATATCGATCGATATGTAGGGGCTTGAAACGGAGTTTTTCGCAAGTAGAACGTTGAACCAAGCCTCCTTTGCATCATTGCGAAATCTGTAGAAATGTCGGCATTAGCCGCACCTAGCGTAGCGTAACGTAACGTAAAATGGCGTAGCGTAACGTAGCGTGGCGAAACGTCATTAAAAACTTGAGCTTCCGGGTGTCAGACAACAGATTTTTTGGGAATCCAACGAATTTGAGCCGATTTTCAATTATCACTTTCGCGCCACTGTTGGTGTAGCCTAGCGTAACGTAGTGTAGCGTAAGGTAAGGTAGCGTAGCGTAACGTGGCAAAAAAAAATAAAAAAAAACAAAAAAAAAAAAAAAAAAAAAAAAAAAAAAAAAAAAAAAAAAAAAAAAAAAAACCCAAAAAAAAAAAAAAAAAAAAAAAAAAAAAACAAAAAAAAAAAAAAAAAAAAAAAAAAAAAAAAAAAAAAAAAAAAAAAAAAAAAAAAAAAAAAAAAAAAAAAAAAAAAAAAAAAAAAAAAAAAAAAAAAAAAAAAAAAAAAAAAAAAAAAAAAAAAAAAAAAAAAAAAAAAAAAAAAAAAAAAAAAAAAAAAAAAAAAAAAAAAAAAAAAAAAAAAAAAAAAAAAAAAAAAAAAAAAAAAAAAAAAAAAAAAAAAAAAAAAAAAGGGGGAAAAAAAAAAAAAAAAAAAAAAGAAAAATTAGCATCACGTATCTACAATCCAGAACCCTAAGAATGTATTCGTCCCCGGGGTATAGTCGTTGCTTTAACCCTACCATTTACGACGCTGACGATTGCTTTCTAAATCCTGACTATCCTACCGTATCCCTTTCAACAACAGCTCTATATTACAGATGAACGACGGGCAACAGACGTACGACTACCTGAGTCAGATTCCGGGCTATGGAAATAGTCCACGAGTGCCGGCGAACCCGACAGGTATCGGTTATCAGTGAACTTAGGCTAAATTGAGCTTAGGTTTTCAGCTTAGGCTTAGGCTTAGGCTTAGGCTAGGTAGGCTTAGCCTTAAGCTTTGGCTTGCCTTATTCTTAGGCTTGAGCTAGGCTTAGGCTTAGGCTTAGGTTTAGCCTTAGCCTTAAGCTTTGGCTTGCCTTATTCTTAGGCTTTGGCTTAGGCTTAGGCTTAGGGGACAAGGAGCAAGAAGTACCGCCTCAAATTCAGATATGACCACCTTGACGTCATTCCAACCGACCCACTCCAGTGCTTCGTACGAGCCGACCCCGAATCCTTACGAAAGCTATCGGTGGGTATCCTTAATTTTCCCCTTTTCCTTCTTATAAGCCCTTTAAAGCCAATTAAATGGCCTAGGAAGGCTAAAAGGCATTGCTGGAAGACGCATTAATGGCTTAAAACTATCATAATTTTACAGAACAGCAAATTAGGAAGATTAAAATATTTTTAAGAGGTAGTTAAATCGAATATTTTGAGCAGAGAGCGCCGAATAGCAAAAGTGAGGAGTAGCGGACGGCCGAGGCCGACGGGTTTGGGGCGTTTCGAAGCAGCAAATGTGCACCAATTGTTGGAGCAACTGGCCACAGGCATAAGCCAACACCGACCGGCTGTCTCATCCCCCAAGGCGCAACTGCCCGCGGGGATCGTTGACCTGCTCGGCGACGACTGTTCGTTGCCTTGTGCTTAGGCTCGGGCTTAGGCTTAGGCTTCGGTCAGGCTTAGGCTTAGGCTTAGGCTTAGGCTTAGGCTTCGCTTAGGCTTAGGCTTAGGCTTAGGCTTAGGCTTATACGCATGCTTAGGTTTGGGCGTAGGCTTAGTCTTAAGGTTCCAAAAAACGTCCTTATCTTCTTGAAAGCCTAAAGGCTATCTCAGCTACCGTAACCCGGCTTAAAAATTGAGTGCAGAAGCGCAGGAAGACAATCCTGGCGCTTCAAACCCTAAAATTCACCTGAACCACCGTATCCCGATGCAATAAAATTCAGAATGAGGACAAATGGCCGCCCCGATGTTCAAAAACCCTAACTTTCACCTCAGCTACCGTATCCCGCCTTAATATAGCAAAAAAAAATTTTTTTCAGGAGCCCCTACCAGCCCTACTACTACCCTAATGTTGCGCAATCAGGCAGCACGGCGTTCTACGGGGCCCAGCTGCACGCGACGCAGTGTACGGTAGTTTGGCAGTCGCTTAGGCTTAGCCATAGGCTTGTGTCATGCTCCCTATAAAACCCAAATTTCAGTGGACAGCTTCCCATCCACCACCCTCCCCTCCACCCAGTTCAACCCCATCTCCACGCAAGTGCCCGCCCTCGAGATCAAGGAGACCAAGCCACACGTCGAGCTAAAGCCGGAAATTGCGACAGGTAATTGGGATACACAGTTACGCTAGGGTACGCACGTTACATTAGGTTACGCTACGTTGCGTTACTTACGCCTACTTTTAAGCAGAGCACCACATCCCGGCCTCGCAGCCGACAGCGGAGCCTACGACGACTGAAGAAGCTATCCCGGTGCCGAGAAAAGGTAAAAATGATAGAGAAAATGAGAGGGAAAGCGAGGGAGAGAGAGAGAGCGAGTAGATCTTCAAAACCATCGTACATCCCTATTTTAGATCGTCGAAAAGCTGCCACAATGAGGGAAAGGCGGCGTCTTCGGAAGGTGAACGAAGCTTTTGAAGTCGTCAAAGCTCGCACTTGCCCGAATCCTAATCAAAGATTACCGAAGGTTGGTTGTAAAGCGGTTCGAAATATGTGGCGACGGTCGAGGGAAAGTGAGAAAGAGAGGGAGAGGGAGAAAGAGAGAGAGGGAGAGCTTATTGAGAACGACTAATTTCAGGTTGAGATCCTACGCGCCGCCATCGAGTATATCAACAAGTTGGAGGGGATGTTGGCTGAGCAGGGGAAGATGACGAAGCTCATGATCCAGAATCAGGCAATGGCACAACAGGCGGCGAATATGCCGGATTATATGGTAAGTGTAAGAGCTTGGGCTTAGCTTTAGGCTTAGGCTTAGGCTTATTTTACTTTTAGCCTACTTCAACAACATATAATTTCCAGTCAGCCGCCCCAGCCTACTACGGCCAAGGCGATGGCCGCTTCGATGAGGATGATCAGGGGGGGATGAGCGTCGACTCGGAGGGCAGTGGGGATGAGGGTACGGTAGCTGGGTCAAATTCTAGACGCAGAGTAGCTTTTCAGAAGCCTCCCTCTCCTCCCAGCAGCACACCGTTGCTGCTCACACACGGTCGAAGCGCAACTCGTTGGAGCGGTTGACGAATATTGTGGCTAATATAAGTAGGTTTAGGCTTAGGCATAGGCTTAGGCTTAAGCTTAGACTTAGCCTTGTTGCTTCATTATTAATTTTCAGGACACGAAGACGGACAAGAAGTGGTTGAAAATGCTGTTGTAGTTGGGGGCGAAGCCCAGCTTCAGCCTGCCGACCCGACCGTCCCGACCACCGAACACCATGATATTACCACGTTATAACATTAGAAAATATTTTATACTGTTTTTTTAATGGAATTTAAACCTAAACAAAAATTATAATATGCGTTTTTGTTGTTTTGCACCAGATCCCGTTCACTTCTATTTTTACCATCGTAATTTTCGATTTTTGAAAACTATTGTGCTACTTTATTTATTCCCATTATTACCGTATTACCGTATCCCAAATTACCGTATTTTTTACAAAAACCCACGCCTGCGATTGCTCAATGTGTATACAGTGAAACCGTGCCTTTTGGAAAATTGCCTTGCCGCTTTTCGTGCTCAAAACAAATAAATAATATATCTGCCAATTTTTGCATCAAATACCACAAAGAGATGAGCGGATGATTACGGTGGTTGGGGCAACGATTAGTTTCTCTCTCTCTCTTCGCTCTCAGTCTCGCTCCCGCCCCTCCTTACGAAAGTGAAAATCCCAAAAAGTAACCCCCTTTGTTCCCAGCTACCCAAGGGCAATTATCGCATCCCGAGGTCAAAACGTGGCTATAAAACCCCCGGGATTTTCATTACAGTACCCGAAAATTCGCTATAATGTGGATATCCACCAACTGGGACCCACAACGAAAATCGGCCCTTTCCGGAGCGCTACTATTGACTACCGTAGCCTTTTTCGTCTGCCTGGGGTATGGGTTCTCGATATTTCTCGAAATCCACCGATTCCACGACAATGCCCTGGACGCGTTACAGGAATTTCGGGTAAGCAAATCGCATTAAAAGATAGGCTCGGCCTAAGCGAAATCTAAGCCTAAGCCGGGCGAAGCTCAACCCTAAGCCGATTCAAAGCCAAAGCTTTCAAAGCTTTCAAGGCCTAAGCTCTTTAAAACAACAATAACAAGATTTTCAGGAAATCAGCGAGAGTGCGCATCTGCTGATGGAGCGTTCGGGGTTGCCGTATTTTGTGCTGAGGACAAAGAGACAGCCAGGGTGCCGGGTTTTAAAGGGATGGTGACTATCGGGTTTTTAGTTCTTTCGGCGACTCTTGCAACTGCGGGATGAGGGCCCGGAATTGCCCGCAAGGGCCACCAGGGCCAAGGGGACAGCCGGTATGTTAGAGAGAGAGAGAGAGAGAGAGAGAGAGAGAGAGCGAGAATGAGAAACAAATCTTTGTCAGGGAGAACCAGGTGAACCTGGCGAATTCGGGCGCCCAGGCGCCGAGGGCCGAACCCGCGTCTACGACAATGTGGACATGAACCCGCTCGGTTGCATCGTGTGCCCCCGGGCATCCCCGGCCAGGCCGGCCTCGACGGACCCCCAGGACAGCCAGGTAAGCTAAAAAATATTCCTCATCTACAATTGACAAAAAGACCAACCGGTTACGGTGTGAAAAATTAGGCGCGAAATAGCCTCCGAAAACAAAAAAGAAGCGTACAGTTAACATTTTTATGAAAATTGATCCGGACTGCCTTTGTCCGTTTAACTACAACATGCAAACTACATTTCAGGCCCGCCCGGACAGCCTGGACAACCCGGTAGCCCAGGCCGAGGTGGCGGCCCCGGAAGACCGGGAGAAACTGGAAACCAGGGAAATGGTGGAAATCCCGGCACTCCAGGGCCAAGCGGCCAACCTGGGTCACCTGGACGCCGAAGTAGAAGCCTGCCGGGGCCCAAGGGACCCACAGGACCCATTGGGCCACCAGGAAACCCGGGCCGGCCTGGTACCACCGATCGGTCGCGGAATGTGGTGCGTTTTAAGGTCTTTTAAAGAGACGAAACAGTACTATGGCCGTAAACCAATAAATTCTGATAGTTTCTAACAATTTTCCTAGTTAGCATTTTTTGGTTTTCTCAACGAAAAGGTTCCAAAAGCCTCGCACCTTCGCTAGGCGGATCGCCCGGTGACGCGCACCCCTTATCTACCCCCTCCCCTTGCCCGGATCCATGGTCTTGTGGTGTAGTGGTTATCACGTCTGCTTCACACGCAGAAGGTCGCCGGTTCGATCCCGGCCAAGACCTTTGTTTTTGCTTTTTAAGATTATTTTTCGAAATTCGTAACAGGTAGTCCGGAAAGCATTATTTATCAGTTTAAAACCTTTCTGATTTTCAGGGTCCGCGCGGCCCGTCCGGCAATCTCGGATCACCCGGCCGTCCTGGTGTTCAAGGCAAACCCGGTAACAATGGGCAAAGCGGGCAGCCAGGTACCGGAAACCCAAAAAGCTATGAAAATGCATTATTTTTAGGCCAAGACGCCAGTTATTGCCCCTGTCCGGAGCGTACGCTTTCCGGAAATGAATTTCAAGAAAACGAGCGGGCCAAAGCTTTCGCGCGTCGGATGGCGCAGCGGAGGCGACGCGCTAAAAACAGGAAAATGGCCCGGAGCTGAAACTCGTGCTCGGTTTTGGGGAATAAAAAGTTTGAGAAAGGCAAAGGGATCGCGTGTAGTTATTAAAAAAAACCATAAAAAATTTAATAAAGTTATAACGCCGGAAAAAACAGGCCGATGAAATGTTATGAAAATAGGTAGTTCATGATCGAGATGACGAGCAGAAGGTAACGCCAGGAGGCATGCCATTGAGCGCGCAGCTTTCGATAGTACCACCCACATGCCCTCTTTACACGGAGTTGCTCTGCCCATTCGCAGTTGGCATAGAGGATAGCTGAAATCTCGAACCAATCGGATCAATTGTGAAGCGGAGGCAGATGGGTTCGGAAAAATGCTGAGAGAACCAAAATAGTAATGCTAAAATTTCAAAGTATTTTTCTAAAAAATCTTTTGCTCCAACGATTTTTGGAAAAAGCTATTTTTTTCGAAAATATGACTTTTTGCCTGTTTTTCGCCTACCACCTGGTGAAAAGTTTGGTCTGAATCAGAAGCCCTACCGATGGCGATGCCACTCCATATGAAGAGATGAATAAATAAGATCTCAAATCGCGTTGAACAGGGCGTCGAACACTGAAAACAACGTAAAAAGGACACACTACGTGGGCACCTATTAACGGCTGCCTGATTTCTCTGCGAGGATTGTGTGACTTTAAAGTTTGACGGGCAAAGGGCCATTTTTCCTGGCGGTCACGGTTTATCTAGTAATCAAATAAAGTGTTTTTAAATTTTTTGAGCTGATTTGGTCATTTTGAGTCGAAAAATCAATCTTTCGACCTACAATTAAATCTTTAATAAAAAAAATTTGTAAAGTTTTTATGCTTAGGAATAGTTGAAAAAAATGTAGAAAGCATCTGCCCTTTATAAAAAAATTTAGACCTGCGCCGAAAAAAATTGGCTCCCCGCCCCCGCGCGAATCCTAAAGAACCTTTGTGTAATCCCAGCGCATTCAATTTTCGACAAAATCTGTTTTCGAAAAAATGAATTTGAAGACGCTGATGGCTAATCGTGGCCGGGCTTGCGGTTTTGCCTGTGGTGTGGAATGGATGAAAACGACCGTTCACCAAACGTACTGTTTCGGCGGGCATGTAGAGCGCCATCACCAAGTCCCACACGCCTATCACCGCAAATATTAGACCGAGACCCCATCCCACTTCCAATAACATTTCGCGATCCGTTGGTAGCATCCTTCGATATGGGCATTAGCCGTCGCCGAATTTGCTGCAAATGAATTATAAAATTAATTTGCTGTTATTGGAATCATCCGAACCGTAAAATTCTACTCTGCAACAATTGATATTGGGTTTTCAATAACAAGCCGGTTTCAAAAAGTCACAAGAGCTTAAAATTTTTGAAGCGTGCTACGCCCGGTTCCTATTGACGCTTTTGCCTGTCTGATGGACCGTGTGCCATGGATGGGAGGCCTGTTCCCATGGGCCCGTTTTCACGCGTAAATTTGAGGAAGCAAAAGGAAAATTAAAAATGGCTAAAAGGAAAAAGGGAAAACCGACACTTCTAAAGACACCACACAACGGCTCCCCGACATTTGCGCCCCGACCACTTGCGCCCCGATTCCATCGTAAATTGCGGGGTGCAAGTGTCGGGGCGCAAATGGTCGGGGCGCAAGTGTCGTGGCACCCACACAACGACTGGCAAGACTTTTTTGCTGCGCCGGACTGTGTCGATCTATACTGCACTCGAAGGGCCGCATTTGAATTAGGGAATTGGCGCGCAATAGAAATAGGACCAAACATCTGGCGCTTGCTGGCGGCAAAGTTTCCAGGCTGATATACCTTGCACTTGCAGTATGCAGCCGCCGCCGCGCGTCGCGCTTGAGCTATCAGGGCTCTTTGCCGTTTACTTCGGCTTCTGGCTGGCCATCACCTATCTCTTTCAATGCCAGCACGTAAGTTGAATTGCTTAAACTTTTAAGTTTTTTCCGCATTTTTGAAAGTTATGTTTCGGAAAGACAAACGACAGGGTGGGTTCTGGTGAGTTTACAGGGGGCATCCTCCCAATGGGCCTATTGGGAAGGGGTAAGCGGAATGGACGTGGCCTCCCCCCGCTAATGAACCAGAACCACAGGGTGTACCAAAACGAACGGCCCACGCGGCATTTGGTTGCCTTACCTACAATCGGTCCCAAAATTGGTCTAGAGTTTTTTATCCGATTCGGAACCAGCATGGCCAACCCTCCATCCTACTGAAATTTCTGATTTTTCTTTTTTTTTTTTTTAATAATATTTTTTTAAAAAATTTAAAAAAGAGAACCTTTTATAAAATTTTTTGAAAAAAAGGAAAAGAAAAAAAAAAAAAAAAAAAATTTTAAAAACCCCGGAGGAATTTTTTTTTTTTTTTTTTTTTTTTTTTTTTTTTTTTTTTTGTTTTTTTTTATATTTTTTAACAAAAAAAAAAAAAAAAAAAAATAAAAAAAAAAAAAAAAAAAAAAAAATATTATAAAAAAAAATAAAAGAAAAAAAATTATTTATTAAAAATATATAAATATTATTTATAAAAAATTATTAAAAATTTAAAATAAATTAAAATATTAATTTTTTTATTTAAAATTTAAAATTTAAAATGAAAAAATATTTGGGAAATATTTAAATTTTATAAATTTTTTTTTTTTTTTTTTTAAATTTTTTTTTTTTTTAATTTTTTTTTTATTTTTGGATATATAAATTATTTTTTTATTAAAAAAAAAAAAAAAAAAAAAAAATATTTAGTAATTATTTTTTTTATTTTTTTTTTTTTATTTTTTTTTTTTTTTTTTATTTTTTTAATTTTTTATTTTTTATATTTTTTTTTTATTTTTATTATTTATTTTTATATTTATTTATATTTTTTTATTTTTTTTTTATTTTTTTTTTTTTTTTTTTTTTTTTTTTTTTTTTTTTTTTTTTTTTATTTTTTTTTTTTTTTTTTTTTTTTTTTTAATTTAAATATAATAATAATAAATTTAAAAAATATATAAAAAATTTATATTTTTTTAATTTTTTTTTTTTTTTTTTTTTTTTTTTTTTTTTTTTTTTATTTTTTTTTTTTTTTTTTTTTTTTTTTTTTTTTTTTTTTTTATTTTTTTGCAGCACCCAATCCCGCCGAATCAAGAGGAAAGCTGGAGGCAAAAGGTATTTTTTTAAAGCCTTGTCTCGGTATCGGACCATTTCGCCGAAAACCATCTTGCCGAAAACAGCATTTTGTATGCAAGTTTGTTCCGGTTTCTTTCATTTTGGTCGAATACTGGAAAAAGCACTGATACACCCGGCCAATCGGTTTTCGGCCTCAAATTATAGGGGAAGTGTCCGGGCACAGTAGCCCTGAAAAACAGCTACTTTCTTTGCATTTTTGTGACCTCGGGGATGGCCGCAACTACCCGAAAAAATTGCATACTAAATCAGATTTTCGGCGAGATGGTCGGAATTCCCTTACCTGACCCCTGGCCCCATCTAGCACCTTAAACGGCGTCTGGTAGCAGATCCTTTTCCCATGAGCCGTGGAAGTGTTGCGGTCGGGCACGTCGCGCAGGAAGAGAAAGAGGGCGCGGGGGGGGGGGGCGCGGGGAGAACTCTGCGTTTTTTTTTTTGGGCGGGGGGGGGGGGGCCATTTAACTAATGAAAAAAAGGGGGGGGGGGGGGGGGGGGGGGGGGGCCCCAAAGGGGAGAGGGGGGGGGGGGGGGTTCAAGCTAATATTTTCAGTATGGTCTTCCTTGCGGGATGTGGTGGCTTGATATTACATCGCTTTTCCTTAGCTGTTGTGCTTGTATCGGTATGTCCAGATAGATGTTCGATGAACGTGCTTTTCAGCTCTGTGGCACCATTGGTCCTTTTCGGAAGCGCGCCGCCAAGAACTCCTTGATATACTCGAAATGCTGGCCATTCGTGGCTGGAGTTTAATATGTAAATGGCGAATCCGCACGGCCGCGTTTATTTGCGCCTTCTTCTTCACGCTCTATCTCCATCTCAGTGCCATCTATTAAATAATAATCAATAATAATAATAATAATAAATGCCATCAATTTTTACCCGCAATAAACCTGCTCACGTATTTTTCGTTTTAACGTGCAGAAAATGCCATTTTTGAAGATGTTGGGATCGTCAGCGCCCGAAAAGACACAAACACAATTCGACGTAGAAAAATTTGTTGAATCTCTAAATAGTATTTTCGGCTTGACGCCAGTTTTCCACGCGAGTTTCCCATGTTCCGGCAATTTTCGGGCTTTACAAAGTATTAGGGAAATGATCGCCATCTTCAAGGAGCTGTTGACGACAACTTTCAGGCAACTTGGTGGAGTAATCTTCGAGATATTTTGAGCAGTCGTAAAATTTGGCGCCCATTTTACAACGAAAACCAAGTGGGGAAAACCGAAAACCGAATTCTACAGGCTACAAACTGACACAGTTCATCTTCACGATAGACCTATCTACGATTTTAGCGAGCCTTCCAAAACCCCCGGCGACAGAACTATCCGTCCGCCTTGATACGGTCATTACCCTCACCAAATTCGTTGTATTTTGGCGGAAACATGGCGGGGCCCACAATTTTTGCCGATCGTTTCGATGCCCTACGCACGAACCGGCAGCTGAAAACCGTCGAGCCGCCCCGATTTCCATGGCGATACAGGTGCAGCGAGAAGGTTTCGGCCTGGGGGTAAATTTGGCAACAGGAAAAGACGACGTTTCAAATACTTGTTCCATCCACTTTTGGAGTTTAAGTTATAGAAAAAGGTTAAAAGACCGCAGCTCTACCTCCAACCTCAAGGCATAAAAATGGCGACCTGCGACCCGATGTTGAAGTCGGAGTTTGATACGGACCCGCAGTACTATCTGAAGGTAAGGAGAAGCTAATTTCTTGAAATATGTATATATAATAAAGAATAAATTAATACATACCTTTCAGTTTCTTACTTATGCGAGCGTGGGCGGACTGCTCGTCAACAGCTTCGGCATCTACATCATTTTGTTCCATTCACCACCCCATTTCAAGACGTACCGCTGGCATTTATTAAACTACCAGGTGGTTTATATTG